ATATATAATATGGAGCCAGTTCCTGACTTCAAATATGGTCATTAAATAGTTGGTTTTATTTGAAGTTATTTTTTCTTGAGACAATTGATCTTTTTGCTACTTAGACGTGTTGCCTTAAATTTAATTATTGCGATTGCCTCACTTGACCCACTTTGTTATGCTATTTTTCCACTTTCAGATGGGATCAACCATGAAGAGGTCTATATTTGATGAACAAACTTCAAAAGCCCTAATGAACTGGCATAAAAAGGCTAAACAACATAAGAATGTGGTAAAGCCTGGAGGAGGTATGAAATCAACAACCTTGGGAGGTAGTCCAAACGACTCGCCCGGCAATTCTCCAATGCACCCATCGAGTGCTATGAAACCTCATCATGACATGGCTAACCAAAACTCAGGAACATCTGGACAAATGGCTAACATCATCGCCACTGTGGATATTCCATTGGATAGTCCTCCGACTAATGATGATGGCAAGTCGCACATGACTGACCTTCTGACAGGTCCATGATTGATTTCAAAGTATAGCATAGCAAGTGATCCTAAAACCTTAGAATGGTCCATGGATCCAATCCTGGCTTTAGAGGCATCATCATTTAGAAAGTAGTCAGGCTTAGTTTCACCCACTTCCCAAAAATGGTACATATATACTTATAAATATAATATATACATGGGTAGATAGTACACAAGTCACTAAATTCAATTGCAGTCTAGTTGTAGATATCAATATGTACTTGAGTGCACATTTTTTACAGTAATGAATCACTGAAAGAACTATTTCCCAATTCTTTAGTTGAACTTCTTTATATAGTCTTACAAATAAAGTGTTTCCTCACATGATTTAACAGCCTTATTGATAACCGCTTTCGCGGCGTTGTAGTAAAACGGAGTCTAACCTTTCGGTTTTTTCCCGAGTATCGTGTCTCTTGAGGAATGGCGGAGGAGTTTCTTGATTTTAAGTCTAGTCACAGGTTATCGCAAATTATTGGAAGCTTTCCAAATTAAAAACTTTTGATTGATTTCCTAAACTACTTTTGAAAAAGAGACTAACTAAATTTATGTAAATAGTGATGATGGCTCAAAAATAAACTAAATGAAAGACATATTAAATTCTAAATGGATTGATCAATGAAGGGCAATGAATTGAGTAATTAGAAATGGATATATTCTTGGACCTAGTAATTAGGGAAATTAAAATTAAAATTGGACTAATAATTTCTTTCCTCATTGACAAGAATAGAAACTATTTTCATTCATTTATCCTATTTCTAGGTATCCAATTTTATTTTATAAACAATGACAAATACGAGTATAAAACTAAAATAAAATAGATTACCAAAAATATGATCTTTATGTGCAATGATGTTTTTTTACGTTGACCGTATTGGCATACTCCCTCCGTTCTTTTTTATCAGTCCTCTTAGGGTTTGACACGAGTTTTAATAATAAAGTAGTAGGGTAAGTATAGAGTGTGTAGGGTAACTGATAAAGTAGGAAAGATGGTATATTAAAAAGAGTAAAGTGATGATAAAGTAGGAAAGAGAGTGTATTAAGAAGAGTAAAGTGGTAGTAAAGTAGGAAAGAGAAAGTAATTTGTAAAAAGTAAGTGGGGTAAAAGTAATAAAAGTGGGAGTATTTTTTCAAAAACTTTCCTTAAAGGGAAAGGAGGACAAATAAAAAAATACGTCCCAAAAAGGAAAGAAGAACTAATAAAAAAGAACGGAGGGAGTATCTTTTAATATACATTGGCCACAATGATATTTTCATGGTGACTCATCCGCATAGTCATCATAATACAAAGCTTCATTATGAAATAGGGGACATTTTTTTACCCCCACCCCACATCATGCTTGCATATCTACTTATGTTTAAATGAAAAGCTATAAAGAGAAAAACATAGCAAAAAGTCTGACAATACACCATTGTCCAACGGTGTTCGTATGAACTCTATGTGAACAAAGTACAGAAGTGTAGTGTCAACTACCAACTCAAAGAGTGTAAATGTGTGATAGATTGTGATAGAAGAGAGTGAAATGTATGCTATTTTTTATAGATAGATGGTTTACCTAGACAACCCATCCTCTAGACAAGCAACTATACCCAAAATGGGTGCATTAGAAAATCAGAAGAAATGAGATGTAAATAATAGAATGGCATACACGTCCTCATATGGTTTGTCTTTTATCACTAGTTTATGTATATTTTAGCCATGATATAACTAGTGTTAAGTCTATTTTGATCTTTGTGATTTTATATACTGGTCATTGTGATTTTGATTTTATTTTCACAAGGCTAATGAATTTTCACAAATGTGGTCTAGGTACAATAAACATGTATCATATTGATTTGAATATCACAATACTAATGACTTATGCTGGTCATTATTTATTTATTCAAAAAAAACATGTTCAAAAAAGATATCAAAAGGTATTTTCGAATATAAGATCGAATATCTTTCACCAAGTTTAGAGACATCGTACATCACATTTTAATGATAAGAAAATAACATATCCAAATATATCGGCACAACAACAATACACAAGAAAGAAGAAAGAATTGTACCATGGTAACAATACTAACTTGACATTTTCAAAGCTTCACGTGATAACAACAAATGATAGAGAATGGTTTGGAATAAAAAAGTAGAAGAAGAAAATTAAGAAGAGAATGTAAAAGGAGAAATACGGAAGAATGAGAAGAAAAGAAATAGAATAACTTTGTTTCAAATTACTGAGTATTTTTATTGGAATAGATAATACGTAGTACTACTACAAGTTATAGTCAGCCGTGTGAGATCCATATCCTACATACTGGTTGCAATATAAATGAATTACATTATAGAAAAGAGTATTAATGAACTATCTATGTAACTTTTTATTGTTGGTAATTGACATTGTTATAGCATCATCAAGGGTTAGCTAGTTGTTCTTGTGATTTGATTTGCTACACACACATTTCTAGGATAGCTATTTTCAAAGTAAAAAAATACTTCAATAGTTAACCATTGAAAGCTATGTCCTTCAAATCTATTTGTAAGGCTAATTGCAATGGGAGGAGTGAAAATTCCAAATTCGAGATTTCCCCCCAAAGTAGCTCCAACACAGCCAAAAATGGTAAACCAAGGTGCTCAAATGAATTGAGAGGACCTAGGGGGTGGGAGTCTGCCTGCCTCATTCACCTCGAGCCCATCTGCCTGGCTGTTCACACACCCTAGGAATGAGAATTTTGTGCCAAATGGAAATAAAAAGAGGTATGCAGGGACAAAGTTACCCAAATATATTGTTATATATAATAAAGCTGAGTTATAAAGCAATGATGTGTCACATTGTTATCGGATAACAATTTTTTTATCAACATTACTATTAGAAAATTTAATTACGCTAAGTATGAGGCAAATTTTTCACAGTAGAAAAAGTACTCCGTACCAGTTGTGAACATCAATTGAACTTCCTCCCTTAACTAGACCAGAGGAGGAGTTGAATGTTTCCATTATCTATGATGTATGTTCCACCCATTTAAAATTTAAGAATGTAAATCTTTTTATTTGCTTAACACAACATCTTCTACATGTTTTACTTGCTCGGTTTTAAGCATTAATAGGGGAAATGTATGCATTTAATTAATCTTCCAAATTTCATGACAACCTCCGCTCTCTCTTTTCACCATTTTCACTAGCTGGAGAATAATTCAAGAATAATACACCATTGGAGGTGGGGTGGGAGTTCTACTGTTTTGCTAAAATGATTTGGAACATTCTTATCTAGAATGCTCCACTATCAGTGACACGTCTGACAACTCGCATGAGAAAATGGTTGGAGATGATTGGCACGTCCTTTTTCGTGTGTTGCATTGCGGGTGGAGGAGTATTATTAATTTGTGGCCGCTACCGTACCTGGTTGTTTTAATTTGTGCAGTTGGGTTAATTAAAACAAACCTCACAATACATTCTACATAGTACATAGTACTATCTTCGTCACACTAACATCAGGAAGGACATACGAATGTGGTGTAGTTATTAAGAAAAATGTATTTATGTGGTTGATATTGATTTAATAAAGTAAGAATGATTTAGAAGCACACAAACTTATCAAGTTTGGTATGATACAAACTTAGTGAGACGAATCGAAAAAGAAAGATGCGACAATCTTAGTGAGACGGAAAGAGTGACAAAAATAAAAATAATATAATATAACAATACATAAAATAATGTAATATTGTGCATTTTTATTGGAATTTATTTCAAATTGAACTCCATTGTGCATTTTTAATGCTTACAAAATAAATGAATTCACATCTTTATTTTTTTGCATCGAAATGTTTGACATTTTAAAATTATATAATAAAAAGTAAAGATTTATATGTTCAATTAAAAAATTATGTGAGGTGAATATATTGAACAGAAAAAACCGCAATGAATGAATGAATATTGGAAATATCACAAATTATCAGAATCAATAATGATTTATGAGAATATGCCTTTAAAGAATGTAATCCCTCCATTTCATAATTAAAGTCACAGTCAAACTTTTTGAGTCAAACTTGTTAAACTTTGACCGCTTATTACTCAAAACCAATACTCCAAAAAATTTATTAGTGTGCTTCATTAATATCACATGAGAATATCGCACATTATATTCCAAAAGATTTATATAATGTGCTTCATTGTGATTTTTAGACTATTCACAGACCTTACTTTGCCAACAAATTTATACTAATATACATAATCAAATTATTACGTATAAAATGTTATTGAATTCCTACCAATGTAAATTTCCAAAATATCAACCTTTATAATGTTTACTAAATACTAATACATAATTAAATTTAATTACGGTCAAAGTTGTGCGTTGGAAACGTGAAAGTCAAACTGTTGCAAAAATTAAAGAACAGAAGAAGTATGTATTATTGAAATATCAATTTATTATAGATTTTATATGTATATATTAATAGGAAATTTCGATCAAATGTTCATCTAGAAGACTGCAAAAGTCATGACTCATGACTTTGATTCTGAAATACGATAGTAATTAACCAATTAATTTTTCTTGGTATTCCTACCAGAAAATTCAGATGCAGCAGTTCATATTCATCGGAGCGTCACCATTTAATTGATCTGATGATTACTGGATATACTCATGAACACATCTCCAGACCACCAACCCTCATGGCTGCAACACACATCACTGGAAGATGCGCAATCAGCAAAGCTCCTCTCTGTGCATATCGCCCTTCTAAAATGGCAGTCCAGCATGTATCAAGAAGGTCTGCGATTCTCATCTCAGTCCTGCCTCTAAGCCTCAGTTTGATGATACCGCAACCTTCGCCCGCCAGAGAGAGGCGAAACAGGAAGATGATTCCTCTTGAGGACTACCAGACCAGCTGTTAGTCCATCTTGCATTTATTTTGCCTTTAATTTGTCTTGTATAACCTGTTTTATTAGATGACGATTAAGTTGTTTCCGATTTCCCGATTTTCCCGTCGAAGAGCTATTGAATTTGGATCAATTTGCTATTGGGCGCCTCAATGTAGTTCTAATAACAGCCGATTTGATTTGCCGTTTACTAGGCAGAATGGTGTTATCAGTTATCCTCCTATTGAGTACTGCCGTTCTACTTGTATAATCTCATTAAATAATTTATAATCCCTTGAATGTAATCAGCTCGATTTTACAGAGAAATTCTATAAGCCCAAGCTGGTGCTTGAGATCCATGAGAGTACTCAAGCCTTATTTTCGAGCTTGGTTCTTGTTCCATATGTTCACGCTGAAGTGGCATTTCTAAAGCCACTAAATTTGGGATACTGAATAGGCCTGGATAAAATATGAGTTCATACTTCACAGTTACCAGGACTTACCCCCTCCGTCCCAGCTTAAACTTCTCACTTACCTTCTTTGAACGTCCCAACCAAAGTTTCATTTCAATTTTAGGAAATAATTAGCACTCTTAAATTACAAATTAATCATTAAATATAAAAAAAATACACATATAACATCACAATTATCATCAATGACCTCATTATGGTGTATACCAATTAAAATTATTTCTGAAAATATACACGAATTACCTTATTTAATTATTGTCTAGATAAACGTGTCATTTTCAATGAGAAGCTTAGGCTAGGACGGAGGTAGTAGTGTAGTACCATTTAACATGTCTAAATCAGTTTGTTGGACGTGAGGGCGCACTTAATGTTTTAATTATTAATGTACCGATGTACGAGATCATCTTAGCTCAATTCTATTGAAAACTGTTCTTGTTTTAAAGTAACCTTTTTTTTAGCAGTTGATGGGCTGAAGTATTATGATCTCATCGAAGGGACTGGACCAGTGGCTAAAAATGGTGCAAAAGTGCAGGTATGATCTGACTATTTTTTTCTTTTCTTGGGGGAAATTATTTTGTTCTAAACGTTTTATTGACTTCCACTTAGTATCATAGGCTCGTGATATGTTCCTTCATGCTATCCTTGTAGGTTCATTTTGACTGTGTATATCGTGGAATAACTGCAGTTTCAAGCCGAGAGTCAAAGTTATTGGCTGGGAATCGAATTATTGCACAGGTAGTTAGTTGTCACTGTTGTCACAATCTGGTATAAGCAAACAGTGGCGGATTTTGGATTTCAATGTTGGGTGTTCAATTTTTTTTCACAGTCAAGAATTTAAAGAACAATAAATAATTACACTAAATTTGTCCATATTTACTTAGATTTTTTCAAATTTTTGGGTGTTTACTTTTGAACAATGATGGCTCATCCCCTGTGAGCAAAATGCTTGGTACACTATATTGCATACGTATCAATCAATATACAAACTTCATTCTCATTCCCTTGAAAATCGAAATGCAGTATGAAAGTTTATGCCAGGTGTCGTTCATGTCCCAGCATGTAGCGCCATCCGGCCCATCCCTATGAAAAACCCTTCATGCATGGGAAATATCATAAATGGTGATTATTTTCATGGGAATACACATAATTTTTCCCACATTTTATATTAATCTAATGACATTTTATATTAATCTAATGATAATCAATGCAGTTCCAATGACATTTTAATATGAAGTTTTAGTACTTTTAGCATGCATGAGATTCCAAACATGTCTATTAGCATGTACATTGTACTTCTCTAAACAAATCTGTGGACAAGTTGCTGATACAAGCTTTCATTATACACCAGCCATATGAGTTCCAAGTTGGAGCACCACCAGGGAAAGAGCGGAAGCGTGACTTTGTTGACAATCCAAATGGTTTATTTTCTGCTCAAGCTGCTCCAAAACCTCCTAAAGCAATGTACAAACTAACTGAAGGAATGAAAGTTGGAGGGAAGGTGTTATGATATGTTTCATCATCTTAATCATCATCAGCACCTTAATCCCAAGTCCCAACTGTATTGGGTGGTGATGTGAAATTTATAATGTCAGTTTTGCCGGAAGTTAGGTAACACAATATTCACACACAAAAACAGTGACAATTTTTTACATCGAATGTCATCTCACAGTACCTTCTAAAGAAGGAATAGTGAGATGAACTTCCAAATTCAAATGCATTGACAATATCATGTCCTACTGTGGAATTGATATTTGCTTAAATTTCAATGATAATATCATGAACTTCCAAAGAGTTAAGAGCTGAGATATTTGCTACAGTCATGTCCTACTGCGGAATTGATATTGAGTTAACATGATGGAACATTTTTTGTTGGATGTGTTATGAATAATGATATGTTTCTTCTTATTGTAAAAAATGGTCCTTATCAATTGAAGTTCCTTTTATCTCTTATTCTTTGCGATCTTGTTTATTAATGTGCAGAGGACTGTGATAGTTCCTCCTGAGGAAGGATATGGTCCAAAAGGCATGAATGAGATTCCAGTAAGAATTTGAAATCCATTGCTGCATATGTTGTCAGAAGATTTGTCATCAACATGAAAAGTTACTTTGGGCATTCGGTCAAGAAATAGAGCTTTTCATTGCATGTTACATGGTTCCTTTAGATGGTATTGAATGCTTGATTGACCAGTATCTTGTTTGACCAGTGGCCAGTGCCTAACTTTATATTTTGGCACACGTGTAACTGTGATAAATCATAAATGACACATATTTTTGAAATTCATTTGATGATTTACCTAGATGTATTGTTTTGAAGGTGGTCGTTACTCTATTTTCAGCAGATTTCTTGAAAACTTTTCTTCATTTTATCAAACTAGACTCTTTTGGGAAGAGAAAAAACTTAAGTAATAATAGTCTGTCTATGGGACAGAGGTAATATAGAGAATGAATCTTCATGTGCCATTAACTTCAAAAGCCTGCTCTAACATAACATCTTTCATCAATTAACATCTCTACTCTATGCCAAAGTTGCTGAAATTTCCACTCTTGATGCAGCCAGGAGAATCATTCCAGCTGAATATTGAATTGTTGCTAGTAGTAGCACCACAAACAAAGCAATAGCTGCCGGCTGGGATTTGTTGTCTGTTTTTTTTTTTGGGAAAAGATGAAATCCTGATAGTGGCTTGAGATTACAATTTACGAGGCTTGTCTTTTTAAGTTGTATAGATCAGATCCCTTCTGTGTGGCGACTTTTTCTTACCTAATTGTCTCAATGCACCTCTGGAATCTGTTTACATTTTATATAAATTTCCAATCCATTTTTCTTGTTTAATGGACTTCTCTTTACGAGAACGCTTTCGGGAACGGGGTAAGAGATGAAAGCAGTGTTTGCGGTTGCTTAAAAAAAGCGCTTTTCAGCTTTTGGCTTAAAAAAAGCTAAAAAGAGTGTTTTCAAATGACAGTTTCTGCTTAAATTAATCACTTAAAAGCTAAAAGCTGGAAGCAGGTGAAAGGGTGCTTTAAAATGCTTTTCACTTTTTCTATTACACAAAAAGTACTTATTTTACCAAACATTACCAACTTTTACTTTTTCAGAATCACTTTTTTCTCAAACACTACCAACTTTTACTATTAATCACTTTTCCCAAAATCACTTTAAAAAATCACTTTTTTAAAGTTGAAGCAATTGCAAACACTCCCGAAATCACACAGCAGAAGCATTTTTTGAACTGCTTTGTATATGAGAGAAGTGTGTGATACCTTAAAACTACTCCGGTATTTTAAGGACTCGTATAGTACCCGTGCGATGCACGGGAATAAAAAAAATCTAAATTCATTTCATCTCATGATCTTATTTTGTAGTTGTATCATTCTTAAAATGAAAATAGTAGTAAATTTAAAGAATAGATAGTTCAAAACAATAAATTTAATTAAAAGATAATTAAAGAACAGTGTATAAAAGAATAGATAGTTCAAAGCAATAAATTTAATTAAAAGATAATTAAAGAATAGATAGTTTTTTTTATCATAATTAAAGAATAGATAGTTCAAAGCAATAAATTTAATTACCTACATAATGAGAATTGATATATACATAATAAATAATGAACTGATTAAAATACCCAACATAATGAAATACCCAACATTATGTTGGGTATTTACTCATTGTGTTGGGTATCAGTTTTTCTTTTATCATAATTAAAGAATAGATTTGGAGCTTAGCTTTATTACATATATATACATGCATTTTATTCGATCCTTACTATCATTGATATCATCATCATGCATTCATGCATATATAGGTGTGTGTTTCTTATTGTTGAATAAAATTAAGTTTCTAATTATTGTATGTTTAGTAAACAAATGTGGCATGGAATCACAAATTCATTAATTCAAATGGAAAGTGAAAAAGTTTTGGATAATCAAAAAGAAAAGTTTACAAAATTTTAAGGGAATATCCAACATAAAATACCCAAATTTTAAGGGACACAAATAAATAAACTGATTAAAATACCCAACATAATGAAATACCCAACATAATGAGAAGTGATATTTTTTTTTGACAAATTTTACTCTTTTCTCTTCTAGAAATTCAATGATCACATGATTCAATTTCATATGCGTACACACATACTCCATATATGGTTTTTCCATGGTGCACTTTTAATCATAAATAAATGTTCCTTCTTTCACAAAGCATACTCCCCATTTAGTGTTTTAAATAGTTGCCGCTATATAGTGGTCGCGATGTGTACCGTTACCTCTACGGGCCGTATATTTTCAAATCACCGAAAATCCCGCTATGCCGCCCGCTATAGGCCGCTACCGGCAGTACATCACGAACTGGTTGATGTGTAAATGTGTACATGTTGTATGTATGGTGTGAAAAAATACATTAATAGTGATGCATTATCGAGTGAAACTCTAAATTAAATGTACATGTATCCACATAAATTATGGTAGCAAATATTAATATATAAATATCTAAATTTTAATTATTAAAACCGAATTAATTATTAATAAGAATGATTTAACTTTAATATCAGTTGACGAAAAAATGTTGACTTACAAAACAATTTGGAACGGAAGTGGTATTATTATGGATTATGCAAGTTGCAATGCATGGTCCACTTCTTAAAATTTGATTGTGAAAGGACAACAATTTTTCATATAAGTACTTAAAATTTTCGGAACAGAGGAGTATATCTTTTTATTGAAAATTATTTATAATATACAAATGAAATGAAATTGTTCTTTGTTAAAAGTACTTTCATAAAAGTATAAAATTTATTACTTTTATTAAATTATTTGGCAAAAAAAATGTTAACTTTCATGATCCAAATTTTATGAAATGGCAAAATTATTTGAGACGTACCGGAGTAGTACATTTAAAAATCTTCTTAAAAGTTGGCTACGTCATACTTGCTATTATTATGAAGCATGAGACCAAGCTATGATAAAAGTATGAGTACATGCAAGTTACTCCTTATTGTTATTAAGTGTTGATTAATAAGTGTTGCTATTATTAAGTGTCATATTCTTATTGGTTGTTATATTAGTTGTTAATGTTCTAAGTGTTCAAACAAATACTCCGTATTTGTTTCTATTAACTTTAGCACCCATTAAATATATAGTTTGCGCACTTGAAAATATTTCACGCTGTTGCAATCGCTACAGGCTTCAGGCGACTACATGCCGCTATCGAGATGACCGCTGCCGCTACCACTGCCGCTACGGCTATTTAGAACACTGTTCACCACATCTCTATTTTGTGAAGAGTGATGCTCTTCAGAAAAAAGCAAGAAAAAAATGAATGGCTTTCCACTTAATTACGTATTTGCTGATTTGCTCTACTTGTAGCCATATAAGCAGCATTTACTTGGTATTGTTTAGAACTTTTGCATGTATTGCTTTACAAAATTAACTTAGAAGGATTAATATAAATACGGAGTATATGTTAACAAAAATATGCATATTTGGTGCGGGCTTTCTTAAGTTATCCTTCATATGAACTCAGAAGAGTATTGGTACATAGATAGTCATTTGTACTGTGTCAATACATAAAATAACACATACTTTATGTGTGTTTGTTAAAGTTTATCAACATGTTATCTCATTTCTTATATTGATACGATGAGACCACCTTCCTACTTCCACTTCAAATTAAATGAAGAATCTGCAATAAAAGTGTTAATTACTTCCTTGAAATTTAATTTATACTGCTCAGAATTTACAAAATAAATTGAGGAAAATACGTAATTTTTTTTTCTCAAAGGGGATTTGCCTACCAATTAAGTTATGAGTGGGGTGAAATCTTTCTATTTTAAAATGAATTACAAATCGAAACATAATAAATATTTTAAAATGAACATATAATCCGTATGTAACTACTGTACAAAAATCATGATAAGACTCAAATTGGACACTATGGTTTCATCAGGATCCCATATTGGACACTAAAGTTTCAAATAGACCAAATTAGACACAATGGTTTCATATGTATCTCATATTGGACACTAAAGTTTCATAATTCATAGTTTTGGGACACTCACTTATATTGGATAAAGATCAAATTGAACACTCACTTATATTGAATTATGAAACTTTAGTGTCCAATATGAGATACATATGAAACCATAGTGTCTAATAGAGCTGCACAAGAATAACCCGAACCCGCATAACCCGCCCGATCCAACCCTACCCGACCCTATTTAATCGGCTATTTGATTTTTAAAAATATTCATGAGTTAAATATGTTTGAACCCGCACCTAATGGGTAGGGTTGCGGAATTAAAATCTCAAACCTGATAACACCCGACCCGGCCGAAGTTCATTTTACTATTATTATGCTACTACCTCCGTCACACTAAGATTGAGACGAGAGAAGGTGACACGATTATTAAGAAAAGTGAGTTTGTGTGATTGATATTAAATTGATAAAGTAAGAATAAAGTAAGAATGGTTTAGAGCCACACAATCTTTATCAAATTTGGTATGGGACAATCTTAGTGGGACTTCCCGAAAAGGTAAAATGGGACAATCTTAGCGGGACGGAGGGAGTACAATACTTCTTGGATAATTTTAATTTAAAACCAATGTGCTCTATCTAGGACTTTATGATATTAGAATTATAATTAAACATTTATCATTTTGACTAGGTGATTATTATATATTTACATTTCCTTCTAAATGAACTTCCTTTACGGAAAGATGTTTTAATATTATTACCTAATGTTTTTGCTTATAAAAGATACAAGTACTTGTATTTGTTTGTGTGTTTTGGAAACAAGTTAATCGAGTTTTAAATTGGTTACGTTAATTTCCCACATTAAAGATGCAACCCGAAGTGATTTTTCCCCCCAATTACCCGACCCTACCCGACCCGTTCATGCATGGTTTACCAACTAATTTTGCGTACCGCGGGTTGGTTAATAGCCAACCTGAACAAATCGGGTAGGCTAAAAAAATATAGCCAATCCGACCCAACCCGCCCGATGTGCAGCCCTAGTAGTGTCTAATTTGGTCCATTTGAAACCTTAGTGTCCAATATGAGATTCTGATGAAACTATATTGTCCAATTTGAGCCTTGTCCCTAAAATATTCATATAACATGCATCTTTCTCAAACAAAGATCAAGCGTCCAAATATTCATTTACTTTCCAAAACAATAAAATGATACCTATATAAGTACATGGTATTAACTTTCTTTCCAGGTGTAAATAATAGCTATGTGTAAATTTCCATCTAGAATTCAAAACAATAAATTCATCCTCGAATGTTGTATTAATAGATATCAAAATTTTCATAAAAGAAATGTACATATATAAATCTAACCTTTTTCATAGAATTATAAATCAGATATGTGTAGTGCATATTGCATAATATAGACATTCATTTGCTGGCTAGCGACTCTACTAATGAAAAGTTCTTTGTTGTGCAGTCGTGATTTCGTGAATGGCTGGCTGTATGACTGTATCTGTTACTTATAGATTCTTTAGCTCTTAAATATTTAAACAAAATTTTAAAGCCATACTTGAAAATTAAAAATGATCTATCCGTAGGGGAACTGAAAGGACTTCACTTTGCATTAATTAATTTATCTCTTCAATCATTATTGAGAACATTATTATTAATCTGTATTTGCTGACATTGATCAAAAACACCATCCAATGCACCATTTAATTACCCACAGATGCTTCGGAATTGCTAAAGTAGTTCTAGAATATTCACGAGACAAATTCTAGTTTACATATTAGGCCAGCGAGTGCTAAACTTCCCGCCCAAATGACTTTTGGCTATTGCGTTTTTATATATAAATAAATAAATATAGAT